CCAGCTCAGCCCACCAGGGGGCGCGGCTGGCTGGCATGTGGTGCTGGGGGATTGAACCACGGTCCCTGTGCTTTGCTAAGCTTGTTCTAAGTAGGTGCTTTAGACTACTGAGCCATCTCTCCAGCCCTCTTCTTCTTCTTTTTTTAAAATATCACTTCAAAAAGTTTATTTCAGAAAATCCCACAGAACTTTATCTACATGAAGGACTTCCTGGGCCTTCTCAGGATTCCACTCAGTTTTGCTTCTAGGAATTCACCAGTAAAAGCAGCAAAATTCAAGTCTCCTTACCCAAACTGATATTATCAGAAAAGGATTGCTAAAGAAGTAATAAACTTACTAAATCACTTCCTATTTCCAAGATGACTTCTTTTGCATTTAAAACTTCTACTTTGATTCCCAATGTGCTAAGGGATCTTTTTTTGGGGGGGGTTTACAAATATTATTTTCAAACTATAAAAACAGTACTTTAAATCACATATTCCTTTTGCTTCAATATGGCCTAGCAAAGCCATATAATGTTAAGCAAACTCACTATACCTATGCTCAAGGATTTTGTCTATGGATGATGTACTGTTTTCTTCTAAGTCTATTTTTCAGGATCCACACATCAGACATTCGTCTCTATTCTCCAATGAGCACACCATGGCTGCTGTGTTTCTCTCTTTCTCTTTGTCCTCCTTTAATGCCTTTTCCTTATCTTTCAGCTTTTCCTTATTTAGAGTGATTAGCTACAGGTCTTGTCCTTAAATAATACATCCCAGTCTTCAAATCCAGCTTCCAAGCATAGAAGTGTGTACTGGTGAGCTTGTGTAGTTGGGCTCAGCAATGTGGATGTTCAAAAACTGGCTCTGATCAATGAAAGCACCACGATCAGCAGCCATCTTCAGGACAGTTTTCTGAGAGATTTCCCATACTGTCTTATAAAGCTGGTTCAGGTCATCGGGAATTTCCACTATGCTCTGGATAGAGCCATTGCAGGCAATAATCTGATTTTTCATTTCTTCATTCCATAAGCCCCGCTCGGTAAGATCTTTCAATAGTGAGGATTTACAATCTGAAATTCTCCTGATAAGACTCTTAGAGTGTAGATGTTGCTGGTATAAGGTTCAATAGACTCATTTTTTCTCAAGATCTGAGCAGTTGAAGCAGTAGTCATGGGATATAAGTAGACTGTTTCTTCTTTTTTTTTTTTTAATTTTATTTATTTGTGTGTGTGTGTGTGTGTGTGTGTGTGTGGCCAGCTCAGCCCACCAGGGGG